TGTTCCTTCAGTTCGGCTACGTCTTCTTGTTCAGCGCCTGCTACCCGACGTCTGCACTCTGGGCCTTCCTCAACAACCTCACCGAGATTAGAACTGACGCTTTCAAGCTGGTCCTCATCCACAAGAGGCCCTTCTCCAGACAGGCTGATGGAATAGGATCGTGGCTGGTCGGTTCTGATTGCCTGTGGTATATGCACTCACACACACACACACACACACACACACACACACACACACACACACACACACACACATATATATATATATATATATATATATATATATATATATATATATATATACACACACATACATACACACACACTCACATCCAGTTAGCTTTTGAGCTGATGGGTATAGTGGCTGTGATAACGAACTGCACGCTGGTAGCCATAAACGATGATGTTCTGCATTATTTCTACTCGGTCGGTTATTCGGATGTCGGTATATTCGTCTTATTCGTCATGATTGAGGTTGGTTCAGTTGTACGGTTGGTCATATGATCATGTTTGGTTGATTGGTTGGTTGGTTTGGCTGGTTGATAGGTTGGCATTTGAATGATTTTTGTTATTGAAATGAAAGAATTTAAATCATTTATCTTAATAAATCTATCGTACAACCGAATAACCAATAAAACAATACACTAATTAACCAATCACTCTCTTAACCAACCAACCAATCAAATAACCGATCAACCGACCAATCAAATAACCGACCAATCAGCATCTCCTACTTTTCGTCAAAGCGACAATCAGTCTCTTGGTGCCAGCCCTTCCAGAAGATATTAAGACCAACCTCGCTAGGATCGATTACGAAGCCCAACTAGCATGGACAGATAAGGTGAATGAACGAATGAATGAATGAACAAATGAAGTAATCAAAATATCTTTAATACATTTTTGTAGACAAAGAAACTTCTCGGCGATCTCGACCCAACTATGAAAAAGAATCAGTGATCATCCGTACGATGGTGACGACGACGACGAAGATGATAATACAATTGTGATGATGTTGATAATGATCAACGATTAATTATGGTGTTTTTACAGTTGTTTTCTGTATTTATTTTCTCAATTCACTTTTTCATTCATTCATTCATCTATCCATCAATTCATCCATTCATTCATCTATCTATCCATTCATTTAATAAACTATTTTTTCACATATATTTGACTTATTCGTTATCGGTGTAATATATTATGTACTTCTTCAACTGAGTGTATATATATATATATATATATATATATATATGATATAAGAATGATATATAAATATTTATATATATATATAGTTTGCCAAATTTTGCTTCTTTTAAATTTGATTAGTTGAGTGTCTTTCGCTTTCGTGTGATAGATAGATAGATAAATAAATAGATAGATAGATAGATAGATAGATAGATAGATAGATAGATAGATAGATAGATAGATAGATAGATAGATAGATAGATAGATAGATAGGTAGGTAGGTAGGTAGGTAGGTAGATAGATAGATAGATAGATACATACATACATACATACATACATACATACATACATAGACATATAAGCGCTTCGTTTGGCATTTTGTTAAATTAAATTTTATTATATATATTAAATATATTATAATATATATATATACATATATATATAAATTAAATATGTTATATATTGGTGTAATTTTTTTCGAAAAAGTTTAACATAAATATCTTTTTCATTGTTTGTTTTTTTTCAGATTTTTCAATACAACCTGCAAAAACTCAAACCCGTCACTGCTATTATCTATTGTTATTATTATTATTATTATTTATGTTATTATTATTAATGTTATTTTTATTATTATTGTTGTTGTTGTTGTGACGTGCCTTTAGTAGATTTGTCGTACTTGAAAACTCGCCAAATGAGATTCGTGACATTTGATTCAGGTTTTTTATTATTATTATTATTGGTAGTAGTAGTAGTAGTAGTAGTAGAAGTTGTTGCAGCTGTAGTAGTAGTAGTAGTATTAGTATTAGTAGTAGAAGTTGTTGCAGCTGTAGTAGTGGTAGTAGTAGAAGTTGTTGTAGCTGTAGTGGTTGTAATAATAGTAGAAGTTGTTGTAGCTATAGTAGTAGTAGTAGTAGAAGTTGTTGTAGCTGTAGTGGTAGTAGTAGCAGTTGAAGTTGTTGTAGCTGTAGCTGTAGTAGTAGTTGTAGTAGTAGTAGAAGTTGTTGTAGCTGTAGTGGTAGTAATAGTAGTAGAAGTTGTTGTAGCTATAGTAGTAGAAAAAGAAAAAATTGTTGTGGCTGTAGTAGTAGCAGTAGAAGTTGTTGTAGCTGTAGTAGAAGTTGTTGTAGCTGTAGTAGTAGTAATAGTAGTAGAAAAAGAAGGAATTGCTGTGGCTGTAGTAGTAGCAGTAGAAGTTGTTGTAACTGTAGTAGTAGTAGTAGTTGTTGTTGTTGTTGTTGTAGTAGCCGTAGTAGTAACTGTTATAGACGACACAGTGGAATTTGTATTAGATGAAGTAGTAGTAGTAGTGGTGGTGGTGGTAGTAGTGGTAGTGGTAGTAAGAGTAGAAATAAAAGACAAAGAAGAAGATACAGAGGTAGTAGAATTCGTAGTAGTTGGAGTATTAGTAGTAAGAGTAGAAATAAAATTAGCAAGTCTGGTAGAGTTACTACTGCTTTTTAGAACGGTAACCTCTGTATTGCTAGGAACATCACTGATGATACTAAAATTAAGTAAATTGGTATTCTCTGCAATGTGAGGTGGGGTCACAAAATGTATGTCCCCGGATACCGTTGATTTGAAATCTCTGTGGATCATATGAGGAACCTGTTTAATTGGTTGGTTGGTTGATTGATTGGTTGATGGTGAATGATTTTATTAAGCAAGCTCTTATTCCATGAGTTATACACCATTAACCAGCCAATTAACCTGCCGGCCAACTAACCAACCGACCAATCAGCAAACGAACCTGATAAAATCTCTCGTCGAATCTCCGGCCAAGCATAATCTTGTGCCCGTTGCAGAGGTCGAAGTCGCACCTGCAGGTGAACGTCTTCATCCCATCCTCCAACATCTCATCGCAGTGGTTCAAAAACGTCTCCGACACACATCCTCTCCTCACTGTCTCTCTCCCTGATTTGTTGAAAGGGGAGAGAGTGATGTATAGGGAGAAAGAGAGAGAGAAGACGAGAAAGAGGAGGACACACACAAAAAAGAAAATTAAGAAAAATAAGTTAAACACACCCAGCTCCTTTTCTTATCTCTTTTGCATTATTTTGAAGCGGGAGAAATGTGCGTAGAAAATGAGAGATAACACACCACACTCACATACACACATACACACTTACTGTTATCTTCATAGACCGTGTGTTCAAACAGACATTTTCCTTTGCCGACAGGGCAGACATCATAATTAGTTGGGATGAAACAACTTTCGCATTGGTAGCACAGTATCAATGATTCGCCCCCACTGATATTATTATGTATCGAGGTCACACTAACCCAGATAAAAATTAATGTAACTTTTGATGAGTGGGCGGGTCTTGTTGATGTGATGATTGACATTTTGATGGGTGATAAACACTCCGGTCGATCGATTATTTAGATTCCCGGTCGTAAATCTAAACTTTTGTCGAAAAAAGTTAAAGGGACGATAATGAAACTGTATTGACACTATAATTATTTGTTTATATGTTTGTTTGTTTATACATCAACGTCAAACAAAAGAATAATAATGATAATGATGAAGTTTCCAGCATCAACCTTCAAACATTTCGAGCCACTCCGATCATTCCTTTAGGTGAAACATCACATTTGAAACATCTTAGAAGCGAAAGAAAGGACTTTAATCGAATTACGTAAAAATGAAGAAAAACATGAAGAATTGGTGAAAACACGGATGGATGATGTTGGAAATTGTGGGAGTTCATATCTCGAAAAGTATTGTGTTGCAAAGATTTACTCACCCAATGCTGCAGTGCCTAATAAAATTATTGCTCTCTACGTACGTTGATAATTTTTCAATACAAATTTTCCCCTATTTAAAACAACTTTTCTATTAATTACTAATATAAAAATTATATTTACAAATTAATACCTTGGTTCCACACAATATTTATACATACATAAACATATATTTTTGAAAAATTAATGTCAAATAACACCACAAATCAAAGACCATATTAGTAGATAAAAAACTGAAAATGATAGAAAGAATGGCAAAACTATAATGAAGAAATATGAAATAGTCTATTTTTCATAATAAGCCATAAATTTTATAAGTTCATCTTCTGCATTTTCAAGTTCCCACTGATGATCGCATATTTCGAGAGCTTCCCATTCAGCCTGGGAATGTAAAAAAATTATTAGAAACATAATTTTTTTTAAATTATCAACCAACCAGCCAGCCAATCAATCAATCAGATAAAACCTTAAAAGCCTTAGATGGGTCTGGTGGCATACCGATAGCAGGTCCAGAGACTTGATCCTGCATCAAACGAGTCTGATCAGCAGCTGTTTAGTTCATATGTTGGGAAATTAGGTGTGTATATTATGAAATGAGATTATAAATGAGAATCATTAATTTATATATGGGAATTATCAATTTATGAATGAAAACTATGAATGGAAATTATGAACTATTAAAATAATTAAACGAAATGAACCCCAACCCTAACCATTGTCTTGTCCTAATATGAGGCTGTACATGCTTCTCAGACCGAAAACATTGAGGAAATACCAAGAGGCCGAGCTGACCCTTTAGTGAGTGAAAGAAAGAATAAAAAAAGAATGAATGGATGAATGAATATATTAAAGTTCTGGCAAACTTGGAAGGAAATTGCACTTCAATTTCAAAAACATGGACATAAAAATGAATGAATAAACATAACGCAATAATGCACGGATTAGAATTCATTACGAAAAAAATTTGAAAAGCTAAATATTAAGTGAATTGCAAGTGAATATCACGCAAGAAATGAAGTGATTTAACTAGATGAAACATATTTTTAGTTAACCAACCAGGATGCATCTAATGAGCTTAACTCCACCCCTCTCTGAAGCATAGATTTGAACCTCAATGTAAGTGGAAAAGGGACTTTGGCTAAGAAATTTTCAAAAATTAAAAATTTGAAAAAAAAGAAATAATGTTAAAAGATTACAATCAATATTTCTGTTCAGAAGTATAAAAAACAATCCCTAAATACTTGTCAGAAATCCAGAAAAAGCCCAGTTGATCCATCCGCCGATGATGATCATCGGCAAAACATTTGTAAAGTTACCTTTCATCATGTCAGCCATCATACTTGGATCTGATTTATTAACAATATTCAATATTTCAAATATTTTTATTGTGAAAATTCAATAATGATGGGATATAATATTAGTTTAAATTAAACTGAAAAATTGAAAATTATGGGATAAAAATAAAATAAATTTGAAAGAAGCCTGTGATGGGGTTCTTCATGACAGCTTCTCTTGTCTGTGTTTTGAAAAATCCTGTGGTCTCGTTGTTAAAGAAATGTTTCCTCATTTGGAATGACTGCAATTGGATAAATAATTTAAATTCAAAGTTTAAACAAAATTAATTACCCAATTCTTATCTATGTTCGTATTTTTAACTAAAATATTCTCAACTGATAATCTTTTGGCAACATAATTTTTATATAAAGATTAAAATTTTACCTGCTTTGGTAAAATTCTTCCATTTTCTCTCAGCATCCTACTTCTTATCATAACTTGACTGGAAAAATAATTAAATAAAATCACCAAACCCAACAAAATAAAAATAACGCAACACAACATGTAGTCACATAAATTAAATAGTTCATATAAAAATAAATTAAAATTAGTTGTTATTTTAATTTAAAATAATTTAATTATGTAATTAGAAAAACAAAAACTTGGTGAACTAACTAACCTATCTGAAATTTGTTGCATTTCAGCTTTTTTTTCAGTAGACAAAAGAATCGTGACATAATGTCTAATTATCCCCACTAAAAAGGTGATGACCACGATCGGCAGAAATACCCAAACACGAATCGAAGAATCCAGCAAGAGCTCCGCCATTTTTGAACCTAATTCGCCAAATCCATTCTTACTCAAAAACTATAATTAACGAAAGATAAAAAAAATTCTAAACTTGCATGTATCGAGACCAAGCGGCTGGTCTCAATGGAATCTATACTTAATGAAATATGATATATATATATATATATATGACTCAACAAGTAAGCTGTTTTACGTTCATAAACATTAAAAATACTTTTATAAACTCAAAATTTGGTATACGACATAAAGAGAACTTTATATATATATGTATATATATATATATTATGTTGTACTTATTATATATATAATGTTGTACTTAATCATCATAATTACAAATTTTATAATTAAAATGTCTCCAACAGTGCTAAATAATAAGACAATTATCTTCGTGCAAATAAGTTGAATGAATGAATGAATGAATGAATGAATGAATGAATGAATGAATGAATGAATGTTCGGAATTCGTAATATTTGCAGGATAACTATCAAAATACATTGTATTTGTGTGCCTGAGTGCGTATATGGATATATATATATATATATATATACATATACATTATATATATATATATACATATATATATTATGAAGTATTTTCTTGGTGACAGCAATAGCAAGCTTCGCAAATATGAAATATGGCAAAAGGTTATTTACTTAAAGACAGCAATATAAATAATAATAGATAATAATAATAATAATAATAATTAATAATAATAACCAAAAATAATTTTAATGCAATATTTGATATATATATACATGTATACATATATGTGTTGTATATACATATATACGTGTCGTGACTAATAAAAAAGTATTAATATTATTCATGCGAAGTTTAATCAGGATATATATATATATATATATAAAGAGAGAGAGAGAGAGAGAGAGAGAGAGAGAGAGAGAGAGATACATATGTGTATTTTATAATCCCACACCATTGATTTTATAACATATCGTCATTGTGGTACTTAAGCATTATTTTACAAATTTGTGTTATTCAGATTATCGAGTATTATAGAAAAATTTTTTTAAAACTATAATAAGTGTATGTATATATATATATATATGTATATATTTATATATATATATAATTATTCTATTTATATATATTTGTAATGTAACTGATTCATTATTGATTGAAGGAACTCACCGCTCTGTATTTTGTCATGTAACTCCGTTGGCGAATGTGAAAGATTACATTGATATTTTGAAGACTGCAAAACATATATGATATACATCAACAGTATCATTACTAATTGATTTGTTGATTGCTTTACATGAATGAGGCTGAATAAACATATGCACGTGAGAATTGATGTTACGATGACTGCTAAAAGAATTATCTTTGCCCTCTTTGTCACCTTTGTTCGAGTTTCTCGAAGTTAGTTTTATTTCAATTAACTATTCAATTTATCAATTAACTAGCTAATTATTAAAAAAAAATTAAATTTTCAATGAATGTATGCTACATTGAAACAGCAAACATTGTGAAACTTGGTCCCACAATATCCGGTTCGAACAGTCCGTACGATGTGACTTCGGCCAGAAAAGTCTTCTTACTCCCTGATTACGTTCCGTATAACGGGGCGGAGTTGTTTGCATTTTCCGTTCTGCTATCATCTCTAGATGCCTTCTCGTTGTTAGTTCTCAGGCCCCAATCTCTGTCAGTTAGTGAAGTTGGCAGTCCTGCGGCTATATGCAGTAAGGAAGTTTATGACCAGGTCGGTCAGTATCAATTCTTTCCTATGTCTTCTGCTGGAAATCTCGAAAATGTTCGTACGTGTGCGTGTGTATTGTTTGTTTGCTTGTTTGTTTGCTTGTTTGTTTGTTTCCTTGTTTGCGGTGATAACGATGATGATGAAAAAAATAATAATGATGGAGATGATGAGGCCTATGATGAATGATAACGATTCTCGACCAAACAGGTCTACTTAGAAAGTTTCCAACTAAATCAGGGATGTACGAAACTAAACAAAGGAGATAGATTCGGCTTATTCTTCAGTAACGATCGCACGTCCATCGCCACCTATTTAACGCCGTCCTCGTCAAACTTGACCAACAGCTGGTGCGGTAGCTTCATCGATCTATCGAAGGATAGTTACGATTTTTCCGGTCGGATTAGTTCGACGATTGCTTTCGACAAACTGCCAATACCTTACACTTTACAAATAAACTTGTATCTGAATTATGCTGACGACAGCAGCGCTGGAGCTGGTAGTAGTAGTCCGGGTTCGGTCGGTAAATGCACTAACGGTCTACTAATTCCACGCTCCCTGGCGAGTAACGTTACTGCAAAACCGACGGTTCCGCCATTCTACAAAGGGGTTCAAGGGTCGAAAGGTCAGGCGGGGGTCAAGGTGAGTAGTGGAAATTATTTTAATTTCAAAATTGTGATGATTATCATTATCATCTTGCTTCTCATCATCAGTTTTAAGATTATCATCATCGTCGTTGTTATCATCGTCCTCCAGCAACTGATCATCATCATGCCGTCATCATAATTATTATTTACTTTATTACGTCATAATTATCATCACCAAACTTAATAACAACCAGGGAGCCACAGGCTTCCAGGGCATTCCAGGTCAGCAGGGTTCACAAGGTCAACCGGGAAAGATCGGCCCAACCGGATCAACGGGAGAGACGGGTCAAACTGGACCGATGGGAAACACCGGATGGATCGGTAATACCGGGGCTACAGGATTTATGGGGGCCACTGGATCTCTGGGACCTACCGGGTTACAGGGACCTATTGGCGTGTTAGGAGACACTGGAGAACCGGGATTTCGCGGAAAAAATTACACCAAGGATTTGGGTATGTGGATGGAATAATTAATTATAACCTAATAGTAAAAATAACAATTATAAAAGATATTATTATTATTATTACTTTCATAATAATTTAGCATCGTAATAAATTTCTACAGGTAAAAAACACACGAACGAGAACAAGAACAACGACACTGGCCAGGTCTCCATGTTGATCTCAGAATCATTCTTTGATAAGGATATCGCAATAATTGCCCTATTTATTTGGCTGCCGATAATTTCATTTCTATGCCTCCTAACACTCATCATAATTATTGTTCTTTGCGTCAAAATTGCAAAATTTTAACTATTCTGTGTCATTTTTAATCTACTATTTCTGGCCGTTCGTCACCGGCGACTCATCTTCTGTATCATATTATTTTTATTATTGTAATTGTTGTTATTGAAATTATTATTGTTATTATTATGGTTATTATTACTATTATTATTATTATTATTATTATTATTATTATTATTATTATTGCTATTATTATTATTATTATTATTATTATTATTATTATTATTATTATTATTATTATAGCTGTGTAAATCTGACCGAGCAAATGCATGTTTTCAAAATAAGGAAGTTAACTTACATAGAACGGTTCACTGTTATTATTATTACTATTGTTAATTTTATCATTGTTATTATTATTATTGTTATATGATATTATTATTATTATTTAATTTATGCTCATTGAAGAGAGAGGACATTTGAACGACGATGATGTATTCCATTCATTCCTCTCAAAAAGGAACAACTCACTCTTTTTTAAATGTAAAAAGTATTTGCTTTCTTTTTCATTCTGTTTTTTGTCTTAATTAACGATTATGGCCGACGAGATGTCACGTGATGTCCAGTATGACGTCATTCTGGAAAAGGCGCGAAAAGACCATTACCTACAAACATGGCACTGATCGCTGTTGATGACGATAATGGTGTTTATGATGTCATTTAGTCATTCGTTTACGCATCCATTCATCCATCCATTCATTCATTCCTCCATCCATCCATTCATTCCTTCATCCATTCATTCATTCATCCAGCCAACCATCCATCCATCCACGGACATGAAGTAATGCCAAACGTGAAATGAGAAGACGTAAAATGTGATAAATTATAAAATTATAAGTCCCCTCTTAACCCTCTAGGAAGTCACGTGCACAATCAGTTTCCGGTTCGGCTACGTATGGTGATAAAAAATTAGGTGGGGATGTAATAGAGAGAGAGAGAAGAGAGAGAGAAAAAGAGAGAGAGAGGTTCAGCAGTTAATAACGGCCATTTAATCAAGTTATAGCACCTATAGTCTCAAATTAAATTATCATCTTATCTAATTTACCTGTATGCGTGGTGATGATAGCGACGACGACGACGATGATGGTGGTGGTGGTTGGGTCATAGCTTATATATACTTATATATATAGAGAGAAGAGAGAATGAGAGAGAGAGAGAAAGAAAAGTTTGTATATAAAAGGAGAATTCGCAATTCAATTGGACATGGTCATTTTGAACTTTAAGAAGAAAATTTTTTTTAAAAGTCAAAAAATGTAATAAAAACTCATTCAGTATATAATAATATTTAATTACTTAATTAGATAATTAGTTAATTAGTTGATTAATAAGTTTTTTAAACGCTTGTTCGTCACGATACGCTTATTCAACTATGTACCAACGTCAGTTAACAATAGCAACATTTATGATATGACTCTTACTACTGACAATAATAATGATATTAATAATAACAATAATAAATTAATAATAATAAAGTACTGTGTGACGTTCTTTCATCGAGTATTACAACAACAGCTAAATCACTCGCAAACAACTCCACAAGAAGGATACATGCTTCTCAAATGTTAAGATGGCCACAACAAACGTTAATAATAATAATAATGATGATGGGAGAGTTAATATTAATGACGATGATGATGATGATGATGGGGGTGGGGACATTGAGAATCACAAAAACGCATTTAAAAGTTCAGCTAAAGTTAAAGAAACAACGAAAGCAAATCACCGACTACATCAACCACAAAATCAACAACAGCGTCGCGACTACATTAGTCGCGACGCGACGCAATCGCGACAACAACAGTCGCAGCAGCAACCATCGCAGCAACCATCGCAGCAACATCAACATCAGCAGCAACATCAACAATATCAACAGCAATCCCAGCAACAATATCGACAGTCGCGAGACGAACGGCGACGACAGCGTCGGGCTAGCGATCGCTACAAAGCGGCTCACGCCAGTCGCGAGCGGCTAAGAGTGGAAGCCTTCAACTCAGCTTTCAACAATTTGCGACTGCTGCTTCCAACGCTACCGCCTGATAAAAAGTTATCAAAAATTGAAGTTCTAAGACTCGCTATTTGCTACATCAGTTATCTGGGGCATGTTCTTGAAACAGGATGAATGAATGAGGGATGGATGGATGGATAGATAGATAGATGTATAAATGAATAAAGGGATGGATGGATGGACAGATGGATGAATGCATGGATGAATTCGAAAAACAAACATGTAGACTGAGTAATAAAAAATCAAAGAACATAAAACATTTTTGGAAAATTCTATCATTCTCCATGAAAATTATGTTGACGTCATAACCCTTATCATCATCATCATTATCATCATCAAAACAATCATCATCATCACCATCATCATCATCACCTACTTCAAGCATCTTCTTCAACATTTTTCTTGCGCAAGTTTATACAAGCTAACGATGCATGCTTTGTTATTGCTTATATACACATGTGTGTATGTACGTATATATGTATGTATGTATGTATGTATGTATGTATGTATGTATGTATGTATGTATGTATGTATGTATGTATGTATGTATGTATGTATGTATGTATGTATTTGTACATGTGTATGCATATATGTATGTTTGTGTTTGTATCTATGTTTGTGTGTATGCTTTTATATGTAAAATATATTAGTTTTTATACTAGACAAAAAATACAACTTCCTAGTCAAGTTTTTGGTTCTTTTTTTTAAGGATATGATGTATTTTGTTTTTTTTTCCCGGAGAATTTAATTATAACTTTTGTCTGTCTGTTCGTCTCTTTGATCGGTTGTAAAAATAAATATATTAATTTTGACGGTTTTAAATTATATTATGAATAAATAAACTCTTTGTAATGAATATGGTCATTGTAAGGTAGGCTTTCGCACTTCTAAATGCCTCCATCTGTAGGTTGTTACAGACGTCTTCATGGTACCAATGACGCAAGATTTTTTTAAATTACATTCAAAGAGTTTTAATAAAAAATTGAAGAAAAATTTTCGAACGAAGCACTAGAAATGATGAAGGACGTAATATATATCTAACCTATAATAGGTTACAACTGGATAAGAAAAACTACATCATCGACAAGACCTCTCAAAATTTCGACCCAAATTTATTTTAAAATCTCATATAAAAACTTTGTTCTCAACTTGCATTCAACAACTCACTAATAATTCCTAATTGAAATGACGATGACGTCATTATCGACTCCGCCCTCTTCTAACAATAGACGTCTCAGTGAACCCAGAGTTAGCCTTACTAAAAATAACTTGACCTCCAGGGGCTCATTCTCAAACGCTCCTCCTCAGGTTAGAATGTGATTGGCTGGTCGGTCGGCAGGTTGGTAAAAAACGTTCTGTGATTGGTTGGTTGTTAGTGGCTGGTTTGTTATGATTGGCTGGTTAATCTGTCAATCGATAAAACGGTTGAATTGGTTGGATAAAAAAATCTCTACCCACAGACCCACATCTCAACACTTCCAGACAAGATTTTCCACCACATTTTCACTTACCTGAAACTCCGAGAACTCTGTAAGATATCACTCGTCTGTAAAAAATGGCGTCACCTAGCCTACGAAGGCAAACTTTGGTCCAGAGTGTCACTCAGACCAGACCATAATGGACTGCAGGTGATTGGCTGGATGTTTAAATTCATTGATTTGATTGGTTGGATTTTTAAGTTTAATGATTTGATTGGCTGAATGTTTGAGTTAATTGATTGGATTGGTTGAATATGTACATGAATACATTTGATTTCAACAAAAGAATAAATTTCATTGGCTGTTTCTATAGTTTGGATATTACACAAATAAATTTAATTGGCTGGATGATAATTATAACGATACATGATGTAGTTTCTTTCAAACAAATGAACCACACTGAAAATATTATAAATTTCACTAAATTGAAATATAAAAATCAATCTCAATTTCAAATTTAACTATTTCATTTCGATTTCCCTTTGCCCATATCAGGTTTCGAACCCGGACGTCTTGCTATCGGTGATAGCAAACCGTTTTGGACCAACACTGCACTACTTAGAGCTACCAGCCGAACTAATAACACCAGCTGTCCTACACGAGATCTCAAATCGATGCCCGAATTTGAAATTTCTGACTCTGGATTTTTCAAACGCCATGCAGTTGCACGATTTCAACGACATGAACAGTTTTCCTTGCAATCTCACAAATCTGACGATCAGTCTGTCTGAGGTCATCTTCATGGAGGGTTTCATGCGGAAAGTATACCAGAGTCTGTCGTCTGTCGAGGTCCTCCATCTAATTGGTCGGTTGGTTTGGTTGGCTGGTCACTAATTAATTAGTTTATTCATTCATTTATTTGTTCATTCACTCATTCATTCATTCATTCATTCATTCATTCATTCATTCATTCATTCATTCATTCATTCATTCATTCATTCATTCATTCATTCATTCATTCATTCATTCATTCATTCATTCATTCATTCATTCATTCATTCATTCATTCATTCATTCATTCATTCATTCATTCATTCATTCATTCATTCATTCATTCATTCATTCATTCATTCATTCATTCATTCATTCATTCATTCATTCATTCATTCATTCATTCATTCATTCATTCATTCATTCATTCATTCATTCATTCATTCATTCATTTATTCATTTATTTATCAAATAAATGTAACAAAATAGCAAGAGAGATCATCTTAATGATAAAAATACTTGTAAGGAACCTTCGAGCTGGGCGATGAAGAAAGTGAGGAGGTTTACGAAGTCATAAACATCGGTTAGATTGGTTAGAAGTTCATTTCTATATAAATGGTTAGGTTGGTTAGAAGTTCATTTCTATATAAATGGTTAGATTGGTTAGAAGTTCATTTCTATATAAATCATACGTAATATGTGAATGAGAACAGATAAATTAATTTTATTTTTTTAATAATTTTTGTTTAATTATAAAAACTACTCGAATAGGTAAAATAAAGGCATACACCCCGAATCTAAGAGTGGTCAATTTATACGGCATCGGATTCGTCGACGACAGTCACGTGGATATGCTTTCGACCAATTGCATTCATCTGGAGTGTTTGTCCTTGAACTTTTGCCTGAAGGTCAAGGGTGGGTCACTGAAACAATTGCTGCAGAGGTGCAAAAAATTAAAGACCTTGTTACTTCAACACTGTGGTTTGTTGCCAGATTTTTTTCTTCCTATTCATACATCCATCTTTCTATCAGTTCGTTCATTCATTCATTCATCTATTCATTTATCCATTCATTCATTCATTCACTCATTTTCTTACTCATTCTCAGGACTGGATAGTGAGCTGATGAAACAGATAGAATGGGATAAATCAACTATCCAGGAGTTGGACTTATCCTCAACTGAGTTATCCTCCGAGTGCCTGGATCTCATGCTGTGCCAGAGCAGAGCGTTCACTTACTTGGCAGTGGCTCACTGCGAATTCTTCAACGATGATGTTGGCCGCTTCAACCTTCTTTCCTAACTTCTGCTCGATTTCTTGCACTATCCTACCACTTTTACTAACTTATAAATAGTAAATAATCATATAAAAACATAATGTGGATAATTAAAGTTGCAGAAAATAATTATTAATGGACGGAAATTAAGTCAAATGAAATCAAAAATAAAATAATTGTTCTCCACAGATACTATTGAGCATGCTAGAAAAAGGTAGGTTGGACCGCATCAGGGCGATCGATTTAAGCCACACCTGTAACGTCAGCGATGCAGTCATTGACAAGCTCATCAGGCTGAAAGGTTTATTTATTTCTATTTATTTTATTATTATAATAATATTATTAATTATTAATATTGTTTATTATTATTAATAATAATATTTCTTATTATTCCTATTAGGCCGTTTCATAGAAGGCTTGTTATTGTACGGAAAGCCTAAGTTAACGGAGCAATTCTTTCTGAATGTCATACCATTTATGAAAAAAATCAAGTGAGAAGTTTTGTGTTTCGCTATTTTGGTGATGTCGGTGCTCTGCTGCGTTGTGGTGCATTGTATTCGTATTGTATTCATAAGGTATTCGCATTTTATTTGTATGTCATTTGTATCTAATCGGTGTTGTAGTATCGTGTAGTATCGAATCTTATCTCTGGATCTTTATAGCGCCACTCACTTGCTGCAGTTGTGTGGTATACTTCATTGTGAAAATGATTCCTCAACTCAGGATTTTGGGATGTGGCACTCCGAACGGATGGTTCCTGAGGCTGAACAGTCGGATCCACATCGACCAAATCGTCATCTGCCTATCCCAACAGAGCCATTTCCTCGAGCGTCTCGAAATCCAGTGGGATCCCGATACGATACGCACTTCCGACAACAGCAGCAAATTTGTCGACATTCTGAGGTCTAGTTTTTTTTTTGTCGTTAACTTTTTAAAGGTTGAAATATGCGGTGAGTTTGTGTGTATGTGTGTTTGTGTGTGTGTGTATGACCAGTGTGGGTGTTGTGTTGGAGGTTTTATAAATGTTAATTGAAGAATTTAGAGATTAAAAAACAGCGCTATACAAATCGAAACAACAGGTTGAGATGTCCTTCCTTGAAATCGTTCACCCTAAGTGATGGCGAGTACTACGAGATGGTGAAGTCGAATTTCGAGAGATCCGACAAGATGACGGTAGTCAGGACGACGAATAGTTACAGCACATCCCTAGTTTCGTTACTATCCTGTTACAGAGATTTACTATTCAACTGAATACTGTTACATCACTATTATGGGATCTCGATATTTTATTCTATTGATGGTTTAGAGTTTAAATTAAAAGTTTTACGTTTCTTGAGAGAAAATTATCTTCGGTGCTGTTGAAATTTTCAATTTAAAAATTATTTTATTTCGAAATCATTAGCATCATTATCATTGAAACGATCATCTTCATCATTATTCATCTCTCTCTCTCTCTCTCTTTCTTTCATCTCTCTCTCTCTCTCTTTCTTTCTTTCTCTCTCTCTCTATCTCTCTCATCTCTTTTTTACTTTATATACAAATATTGATAACATGGTACCAATTCATTAGCATACATTTCATATTTCATTTAATGATATATATATATATATATATATATATATATATATATATATATATATATATATAACAGAACTACTGATAATAATAATAATAATAATAATAATAATAGTCATACCAATAATAATAGTAACATTCGTTCTTATGTATTTCTTAACTTTTTTCATACTAGATATAGATGTCGCTACTTAGTTGCTGTAGTTTAATACAAGCATATTTGACCAATTATATATATATATATATAATTATATATAATTATATATAATTATATATAATTATATATAATTATATATAATTATATAATATACCATTGTTATTCTTCTTATTAAATCACAATTTTTCGACGTTTTTTTTAAATAAAAAAGACATTTTGTAGTGTCGTCAATTTATTTAATTATCTATCTGAATCATCATCTATCTCTAATTAATTAATTAATTGATTAATTAATTAGTTAGTTAATTAATTAATTAATTAAAGGTTTTAAATTCTAAAAGAAATTAAAAAATGAAAATATACGCACATTCATTCGCGCATACATTTACCTATATAGACAAAAATATGATCAACCGATGAATCAATCATTTACTCAACCAACATATCAATCAGTCAATCAACCAATCAATCAACCAATGAACCAATCAATCAATCAACCAATCAATCAACCAATCAATCAATCAATCAACCAAGCAATCAATCAGTAGTAAGTTTCCCTCTCAAGCCAGCCACCAGGACTTCTTCTTAAAATGTATCTTCGGATCTCATCATAGACTATGATCGCGATTGAGAATGGAGCCGCTATGAACCACCAAGACCATCTTGCAAAGATTTCGGAAATACATTTGTAAAGATTTTAAATCAGTGTAAATAAATACGTAATCTATACATTAATTATGATTATAATTTAACTATTAATTAATTAATAAATAATTATTAATTATAATTTATGGTTACTAACTTGAGAGGGTACATACGCAGGCCCTTGTCCATGCCGGGACAGTAGCTCAGGACGGCAGCCAATGACGTCTCGAAGAAAAGACCAAATGTTAAATGGTGATTTCTGATTGGTTAAAGAGATTAGGGTGATGATGGCGGGGAAAAGTGGCGATGATGATGATGGAGATGATGATAAATTACGGTGGTGAAATATAAAAATGGCAAAAATAATTTGTACAAAAACTCGCATCAAGACGGAAGATTAAAAACATGAAAAATTTAAAAATTCCTAACAAACCAGTAGCCAAAATACGTAGAAATATAAATAATTATTCCTCCCTCCCAAACTTCCCCCCCCCCAAAAAAACAAAACTGACAGCATTCCTTGGTGTACAATGGAGTTCCTCCGAGTCTTGCAGATGATGAGGTCAGTCCACTGGACAATGACGATGGCCACGAAGAACGCTGTGTGACACGTGTATTCCAACACTTTCCTCTGTGCGTAACTCTTTTAGAATGGAAAGGAAAATGTTTTTCACAGCGTTTTACATGCATTGGACATACATACATTACAAATAAGCAATTGCACACAACCCTCCCAATACGAACCCACTCCTGGCCGTACGAATCTACAAGGTCGTTGACCGACTTCGAGTCCCAATCCCTTCTCAATCCCAGCAGCCTCATTGGCAGGAAACCATTCTCTGACATGATGACGAGATAGGTGAAGAATCCCCCACTTGCCTGGATCATCCCTATCTGTCCGTACGCCATTCCGATCAATCTGGGGTTTATTATCATAGGCATCATCGTAATCCCATCCCTATTTTTACCATCATTAATTTTGTTGGTTCCCCAATCGGTATGGGTCTTGAAACGAATCAGCAACCTCGAAAAAATCGTGAAAACATCGAAAAAACATGAAAAACAGGTGGGAAAATGTGAGTCAGGTTTTGAAACTTTGAGGCTCAATATCTCGGAAACTACTGATCAGAATTGGAACGACTTTTTTTTCGACAAAGAACCTTCAATGAAGAAAATATAAATGAGGAGACGAACATTTTGAGGGTTCGAGCGTTGGAATCGGTTAAGGTTTTAGCCAAAAATTTAGCCAAAAATTCAGCTAAATTTTTTTCCAACTTACGGCATTTATCAATTTCAACTGCCACCTATCGAATTAGTAAAAACTTTTTCAAAGTTCAAAATTAAATTTCACATAAATTATTTTATTAAATTTTTGTGACAAACTTGAATGTTTTTATTGTCAAAAATTGAAACTATTAAAAGAAATTTTTAGATTTCGTAATAAATCACATTTGAAAGTTGATATTTTTTTTGCCCATGCAGCGCTATGAAATTTTAAAAAAAAACAAAACAAAAAAGCCCAAAATTTGTGATAAATTTTAACCACTAATTTCGTCACTTAATATTATGAATTAAACAATTTTAAAACCACATTCATATTACACAAAAAATTACAAAATTAAATATAAAATTATTTTTCCCTCGAAACTTTGTTTCGTCTATGAATTAGTAAAATTAGGAAAGGTGGCTATTGTTTACATTTTGTGCATTTTAATTTTATAGCGCTAATCACACTTTTTCTGCTAATTGTAATCTTATTTTTTAATAATTCAGTCGCTTATTTTTCATATAATATATATATTATTTAATATTTAAAATATTATTTCATAATGAATAGAACATCAAAAAAATCCAGATGTTTAATTTTTAATTATAAAATAAATTAGTTTCAATTCGATAGATGTCAGTGGAAATAGATAAATGCCATAAACTGAAAAAAATGGTAATGGTTTTTGGCCAAAATGAACCTTTACCGATTTCGACGCTGGACCCCTCAAAATGTTCGTCTCCCCACTTTTTATTTCCTTCATTAAAGGTTCTTTGCCAAAAAAAAAGTCGTTCCAATTCTGATCAGTAGTTTCCGAGATATTGAGCCTCAAAGTTTCAAAAACCTGACTTTCATTTTCAGACATGTTTTTCACGTTTTTTGTCATTTTTTGACATTATCTCGATTTATTTTGCATAATTTTGAGAACGTGAACACTTTCCACGTGTTTTCAGAGTTTTAAAATTCTCAGATCCTGAGATATGGCAACCCAAAATTAAAGTTTAAATAAATATATAAAACAAATTATACCAACCTACCCTCATATATATACACACATAATCACACACACACAGACACGCACATACATACATACACACATAAAAACCTATGATTGACTAATTTGTCTCTGTGCGGGTCTCTGGGCATCCTCTTCATGATATCGCTTTCTGGCTGCTCATAAGCCAACGAAATTGCTGGAATCATATCCGTACCTGAGACATCAGTTAACTTATCACATCTTACGAATAGTTAATTATGACCAGCCAGTCAACGAACGAATCAACGAACGAGCCAACAGACCAGTCAAGAAGATATACGCACCTAAATCAATACACAAAATGGTTATAGTCCCCAACGGCAGTGGGATGTCTGCCAGCATGAACAGCAGGAAGGGACTGATTTCAGGGATGTTACTCGTTAACGTGTATGCTATAGATTTCTTCAGATTGTCAAATATAAGTCTCCCTGGCGATGATCATTAAGAAGATGATGATGATTATTATGAAGATGATGATGGTCATTATGATCACCGTTATCAGTACCTTCTTCGACTCCAACCACAATGGATGCAAAATTATCATCCAGTAAAATCATATCGGCCGCCTGCTTGCTTACGTCACTTCCGGCTATTCCCATAGCGACACCTTTATAAAATTAAATGATTTTGTTGTGAAATAAAATATTTTTCAAAAAGCAACAACCAGCCAGCCAAGCAACCAACCAACCAACCAACCGACCAATATCAGCTTGTTTCAGGGCCGGCGAATCGTTAACACCGTCGCCAGTGACAGCCACAATGGCGCCCTGACGCTGGCAGCCTTCAACGATGATGAGCTTTTGCTGTGGCGAGGTTCTCGCGAACACAATCTCGCTGTGGTTTGCGAGAATTTCGTCGATTTGTGCCGGCGTCATGTCGCGCAGATCGCTGCCGTGGATGACGCAGGCTCTAGCCGCTCTGTTGGGACGTGAGTGAGTGGGACGATGTGCATCTCATTTTTACCTACTGTTATAAAAGTATTGGTACCTTGGATTGACTTCAGAAAGCGGGATATCCAGCCTTAGTGCGATATCTTCAACGGTTTCGTTGCCATCAGAAATTATGCCCACCCCCTTCGCTATTGCCTTCGCTGTGATTGGATGATCTCCAGTGACCATGATAACCTGATTTGATTTAATTGGTTAGAGCATGCGACCTATTTTGTTTCTATCAATTCAGTAATGCACTCCAAATTTTTTCATTGGCTGAGCGATGTGAAGAAGTCACTGACCTTGATGCCAGCACTTCTGCATTTACTGACAGCGTCGGGCACGGCAGGCCTCGGAGGGTCAATCATGGACATGAGCCCCACAAATCTCAGGCCGGTCAGTGGGAAGTTTTCAGCTTCCGCGTCGAACTGATAACCAGCGGGGTACTCGTCAGCGGGCAGAAGTAGGTCACAGAAGCCCAAAACTCGCTCCCCTATACCGCCGAGTTCGAGGTAGGATCGGTTGAATGCCTCACTCCACTGTTCGTCCAAGAGATGCTCCTTGCCGTGCGCCAACACTCGAGTACATCGGTCGAATATTCGCTCCGGTGCCCCCTGAGAAAGGTTTATTCGGTATTTGATTCATTTACGATGATTTCATTGAAAAATCGGCGTTCGTAAATGTTCGTGGCAGACCTTCATGACGAGCAAGTTGTTGCCATCTTCG